TTCTGCCTCTGGCCAAGTGCTAATTATGTGGTTTTTACTTTTCCGCTCAGCTGCAAAAAGAATCACAGTTAACTTTGGATAAATTAAAAAAGGCTGTTTTTGAAAGCGGATGTGTTATTTTGTTCTGAAGGTGTTATGAATGGGTCCTGTCAGGCAGATTTTTTTATTCTATTTTTATCCCCTCACTAAGACAATAAGATTCCTAAGAATAGAATATTATAAGATTCAACACAACTTTTCATTCCATACATTTCTCTTTGATGTTTAGCTTCAAGCATAAAGCTCTGTGAGAAGATTTAAAATGATATAATGTCCCGCAGCGCCGGCGGAGTTGAATAGTGAATATTTAAAGTTTTCCAGAGGAGTGTGTTTCTGCACTAAAACTGAGCAGGAAATGCAAATAAACCTTAACCTTGTTAATGTTTACGTAATAAGTAAACCTTGTTTTTGGTGCAAGGTATTCAAGTGGGAAGAAGTTACATTGTGTATAAGAGCAAAGGCAGTTTTTATTTTTTCTTGTCCGAGGCAGCACAGTGACGGATCCTGGCGAGTGGACGGAACAACTTCATCCACGACCACGTGCAATGGTGGAACCAGGGGTGGCCAGTGGTCTTGGCCAACTCAAGGGCCACCCCAATCATTTGAAGAAACTACACTATTAAGCAAAATAAAATGAGAAAACATAGTTTTCTCAAATGACTGGGGTCAGTTTTCATGCATATAAATATAATTGTAGCCATCTTGGATTCAGAGTGGCAGCCCAATGTGTGATGGTGAGTTTTCCTATGTGCAGCCAAACACCAGAATGAAAGTGTATGCCTCACTTATATTTCATATTTGCTCACAACATGCACACACTCAGAGTTTTTCCAATTCCCCTTCTTCTCTCCACGACAGAGGACCATTAAAGGCCTAACTCCTCAAAGGAAGGCACGTTGGCTGTTTTTAAATGAAGTCATGTCATGTTGATTTAGTTTGGCTCAAACTTTGAAAATACTGTTGTTTGTGGTCTTATACAATATTATATGTACGAACAAACACAGGTTATAACAATATCTGTGTGATTCATTGAGCATAGCCTGTTTTCTAGTGGGTAATGTGGATTAGATGTGGTGGCCATCTTGAATTGGGTGATCTCCGAGAAGTAGTGTGGGAGTTGTAGAGAAATTTAAATAATTAAAAACATTTTACTGAAACTGACTCCATGTGGTTTGTTGCAAAAAAATAAATAAATACAGACTTAGCTTGTGACAAAAGATCATGCTCAATAATCCAGGTATAAAATCCAACAATGTTCAGTCAGGTCATCTGGATGATTTCTTTTTTTGCTGAGACGTTTTGTTCTTCATCCAAAGGACTTTCTCAATCCAAGAAGCCACCAAACAAAACTGATTCCCACAAATAGCATACTCCATAGTGGAAACAAACCAGTTTGCTGGTGCTAAGAAGGTCTCTGGGGCCCACCCTGTTTGGATGAAGGACGAAACGTTTCAGAAAAGAAAACTTCCAGATGACCTGACTGAACAATGTTGGACTTAGCTTGTGAGTTAGCGCTCACAATGTGTTCGTGCAGTCTTCAGCTGCTACTACACCAACTTTTAGGCTAGTGTTTATGAAACTGATGGAGTTATAAGCATTTAGTTTTGTACTTAAAGATCAGTTTGCTGTGGCAGCCATCTTGAATTGTATTGATCCAAAAAGTTCATCCAAGGTAGATGTGCTTCCATTGTTCACATTCCTGTCGATGGAGGAGCACTGAGGAGAACATAGTGAAGTGTTGGGTTTGGCTCCTGTGCGGCAGGCAGTCGTGTCTTCCTCAGGTCACTTCTTGGAGAGCATTCATTTCAGGGTCCACTGTGGTGGGCTGACGTCTGAAGATGATAAAAATGTCCGGTGATTTCCCAGAAGACATCTTTAATATATTGTTTCTCGAGGTTGTAAGTGTGCACACTGGTTGTGTGTACACACAGAGATGAAGAGGACTACAAGGATCCCTCCAGCAGCCACACTTACACTCAGCCTTCTTTAAAGTGGCGCAAAGAGCGTTTGATTCTCTGTGATGTCAGGAGCAGTTCCCACTGATCAGGATTTGACAGCCAAGACTTGTGGTTTCAGTCACAGTCCTGTCTGACCCCTCAGGATACTGAACGCACACACACACACACACACACACACACACACACACGATGTGGTCGTGTGCTCACTATCTTCTGCACAAGTGTTGCCATGTGCTCCGATCAAGCGAGCTCTGTGTGCATGTCTTCGTCTTTCCCGCTCAGTCAACTCATCTGGCTTTTGCCACAGATCGCCTCGTTGTTCGTTCCCGGCTGTCCAAAATAACTTTTCAGCTTGATTATACGCTGCTAGCTGCCAGTCCAAATTACAGCTCTGTGTTGGTCGACCCGCGAGCAGACACAGAAACGGAGCACGGAGCAAACATACCCCACACAAGTCTGGTGACAGAGAGAACGACACATCTGATAACCAGTGCAACTGCACAGAATGACGTCGTATTTCTTTGTATAATTTGTGTTTAAATGTTCTGGACTGTAAAAAGGCAACAATAAATAATAAATACAATAGAGTAAGTACGTTTCTTTTGGCTGCTCCCTTCTGCAGGGCTCACCAGCAAGCGAACTCACCTGAAAGGTTTTAACATGAGCATTTTCCAGCTGATGCTCCCTGCCAGTCAACATAAAACCATTATGATGGAAACGTGAACAAACTGTTTGGAAACGGCCTGGCTGCTTCTTTAAGGTTCGTTCTGGTAAAAAGAAAGAACGTCTCACCTCATTTTGACGACCAAGTCAACATTTTTCCTTGTTTCGTCTTCCCTTCTCAGCCTCAATGTAAATGCAAAGTTTGGCTAAAATCTCACACCTAAACCACTCTGTGACAGAAAATACTTTGAAAGGAAAGCTTGCAGTCAACAGATCTTCAGGAGGCAACATTAGGAATTTCACTATAACTTTAAGGACCAAGAAAGAACAGAGCATCTGCTAAATGTTTGCAGTTTTAAGCCACAGAGGAAACAGCACCATCTCCTGACCCTCTTTGTGTGAACACACATTAATGAGATGTTTATTATTTTTGATGGTTATAATGACATAAACAGGATGCTAACCCTCAGAGTGCACCTCTGACTGAAACTTAGCTGAGTCATTTACCGTCTGAGTGCTGAGTCAGCATTCACACCACCTGTGCACAGTACCTTCCGTATATTTTGGACTCTACTTCTGCAAACCGTTTGATTTTTCAGCCATTCAAGTATCAAAACATTGATCTCATTCAGGATATTATAGTCTTTGTAACGTTTACATTTTTTGAAACAATAAACTTTGTTCATGGGTTTTTCTCATTAAAATACAGTATATCTGCGTTTCCACAAATCCTTGAGAATCTTTGTGCTCTTCAAAATCTACTCCAGGACTTTTGCTCCATTTCTGTCTTCTTTTTCATATCGTTATTATTTTTATACATCCTTCTTGTTTTTAATCATCTTTTACATCTTCCTATGCATTTTTGCTGTCCTTTTGTATTGTCATGTCTCATGATGCATCATCTTTGTCTTTTTATGCATTATTTTATAATTTTAGAGTCATGTGTACGGGGAGTGGTGGTGCAGAGTCTGGAACAGGCGGGCCTGTGATCAGAACGTCTACAGAAGACAAAAAGTGTCCTTATGTGTTCTTTTTGTCTTTTAATTCAGGTTATTCACTTTCTTTATTTTGCATAGCCCCAATTTGCAACAAGCATAACCTCAAGGCAATGTACAACAACATTTACTTACATTATAAAACACCAATTAGTAAAAGTTATCTATCTAAGGAAGCCAGCAAATTGCATTTAAGCCCCACTTAGTTGCATCCTCTCATCCTGAGCAGCACACGGGTGACAGTGGAATGAAGTAACTCACCAGAAGAAACCTCCAGCAGAACCAGACTCAGGATTTTCTGCTTCCTTTTGGTCTTTATTCTCCCTATGCTTCTTTTAAATGTATTTGGGTTTTTGTTTGTTTGTTTTTGGCCATCCTTCTTTTCTTTGCCTCTTCATTTTCTTCCTCATCAAATATTTCCCCAAACACTGAAAGTTTAAGTTATTACTCAACTCACGTTCTCTTTTTTCAGTAAATTTCAGCTGTCATTTAGCCCTCAGCGTTAACACACATTTTCACAGAACTTGCAGATATTTTGAGTTCAGTTCAACGTGAGAACTTTGCATTTGTTGTTTTTTCTCCTCTGTTGGTGTCTCTGTATCCAGCAATGTTCAGTCAAATCGTCTGGTCTGTTTCTTTTTTTGATGATCAGAAAATAGAAACAGTCCAGATGACCAGACTGAACATTGTTGGAATTTTTACCTGGATCATTGGGCATGAACTTAGACTTGTCTCTGTATCTTTCTACCTGTTTCCAGGCTGTTTCTGATAATATTTAGTAGACGTTCCCAGTATCATTTTAAAAGATGACTGTTCTGTTTGTGCAGGAACGTGTTAAGGTTTCGCTCGTTGTTTTGTCGACAGCGGTCTTGATGTAAAGCCGTTCTTTCAGACAGCAGACTGGCAGCTTCAGCGCTACACAACCCTCCTAGTGCTGGCATCACCATGGTTACAGCACTGGTTTGCTGTGCAAGGGAGTGTCCTTTCTGGACCACCTAAATATGGTCTGTGGTTAGACCACTTCAGATCACACGTGCACACACTCAGACTTGCCAGAAGGCCTAGCCAGAAATGGCTATTAGTTCTTTTCCTCTGGCAGCAAACTGAACAAACATTTCGTTTGTCCATCAGACGGCTCTTATTTCCAGCTGCTCAGAAATACGATGATTTCAACTTTTCCCCCCGCAGCGGCTACTGGGTGTGGTGGGGCTGGCCCAGTTAAACTTCAGGACACTACCAGATTTCTGACAAAACCAGACCTCAACCTCAATGTTCAAAGAGACCCGTGTTTGGAGGAGAGTGTGTGAGAAAACACCAGACTGAGTTGTTTTATTGTGAATTGCAGGATTTGACCTGATGCAGTACTTCAGTGTGAAAGACATTCTGGGGACCAGAGACGATGACGGTCAGAGTTCATACGTTCGTCTCGGCACCATGCCCATTGTCCAGCACACAGAGTAAGTGAGCACCACTGGGAACTGATCACACCATTTCACTTCCTTAGGGGCCTAAGAGTGAGGGGTGGGAAGGAAGGGGGTGGAGCTTATGCTAGTTATCAAAATGTAAGAGTGTGGTTATACCTGGACAGGTCACCAGTTCATCACAGGACCACTGAGAGATCCATCCATCCATCTGTAACAATTTGTTGAGCCAACCACTTCACAACCATGCAACCCAGAAGTCAACCAGAAATATGGAAAGAATAAAAGTGTACTGTGAAACGGATCTGTAGAGAAACAGAAGCAGCGAGTGGTACACTGATGCCCCTGTGGCCACTATTTAATGACAAGGTTTTAAGCACAGATGTTGTGCAGTGCCTCCCCGGGTACAGGTGCACCAGTAACAGTAACAATAAGTTGTGTACTTTGTAGTTGTCAGCAACTAATGCCTAACTGTGGCTCAATATCTGTAAAACTAACTGAGTTACGTATAGCACGTTTGTGTTTGCTAAGCTTTCTTAGCTGTGGCAACCATCTTGATTGAGAATGCATTTTCAAAAACTAATCTGTTGTAGATAAACATACTTTGTACAATGGTAGCTCATTGAGAGCTTCATTAAAATGTATACTTAAGTTCTTAGGATATTTTCAATTTATTTTTTCTTATGCTAAACAAACACGTGTAGACACAGACATAGAACCTTTGGTGATGGGCAGGTAGTTACAAAACTAAAATTTAAGTGAACTAAAGAGAACATAAACAGAACTGTGAACATATGACCCTGCACATGCTAAAGCAGTTATAAACCTTTTGTATGTCACATATAAATGCAGAGGCCCTTTGAGAATTTCATGAAACAATTAAATGAGTTGTTCTTTCTTCTGATGAGGTCAAAGACAGAATTCCTGATTCAAAAAAGCCCCTTTTCCACAGCTCCTCTTCAGCCCGGTTCGGCTCGATTCAACTCGACTCAGTTCGCTACACATTGTGTTTCAATAGCTCCTTTCAGTATTGGTTCTAGTGGGTGGGGTTCAAATAGACGTCAAGCGCCTCACCAGCTGGTGGTCGTGAGACACAAACAGGTCTCAGTACAGGGTGAGAATTTATGTTGAAGTTTCTGGTAAATTAAAAAGAATACAGATTATTAAAAT